TAGGCGTTTGGTGCCGCTTCTCGAGGAGGGGGCCGCCGCTCAAGCAAGCAAGCGCGCTTCTCTCACTCGCCTTTATCGAGTTTTCAGAGTCACGCGCGCACACAGGCCGAGAACAAACGAGATATTTTCCTCCTCTGGGCAGGCCGATCGACCGATTCGAAAGGCGTTCCAGTTGGTGGGGCCATTTGCTCGGTCTAGATCGAGAAATAATTTTCATTCAAGGATCGCTCTCTCAACCTCGCTCTCTTTCCGATCAACCAGATCGGAAAGCTCTGGACATCGTCCTCGATTTATCGTAGATACGGTTGTTTTCCATTTTCTTGGCCCTTTGTATTTTTTTGTCCACGAAAAGTTGAGTCCTCGTTGTTGAAAAGATATGTTAAAAAGAGAGAGATATTTTAGAAATTTGGATGTTGTCGATTGGTATTGGAAATATTGTAGAATTTTTGTTCGTAGAAATGTCTTTTTTAGATAATTGCATTTTGGAAAGTTTTTGAAAATTAGAAATTTTCACCATGTTCGAAAATTTAGGTGGAAAATTATGGAATTATTAGTGTAGAAATGTTTATATATATTCGTGGCTTGGAAAGTTGAAGAAGTTGAGGAATGTTCATGATATATATATATATATATATTCGTCGAATTGATCTTTGTCGAGATATGAACTGCGTTTTATTCGTATATATTTGAAAGTGGACTTGATATCCTTGGTTGGTTGATTGCTGATTTTGTATTATATGAATTCGTTCGATTTTCTTCGTTCGAATTTAATCGTCTGAAAAAAAGGTTTTTTATTAATTGATAAAAAAAAGAATCTTTCCTCTAAAAAAAAATTGAAAGGATTAATAGCTAGAATAGGCTTGATAAAACGCCAGAAACGTTAACAAATGGATTATTCGATCGTTTTAAACGCGTTTATTCGAAGACTGCTATGAAAGGGACGTAATTTTGGGGTATATCATCCTGTCAATTTGTATCACGTGAAAAAGATTCATCGATAATGATGATGGATACCTTCAGTTAAACGAAAAACGTTCTTTAATTTATCCCCTGCAAAGTATCGATTGCAATCTTGCTTATTATTAGATCCTTTGAAAAATTTTTGAAGCAAAAATATTTTTTTTAAATATTTCTCTAGAAAAGAAAATATATCTTTCATAAATTAAATCTTTTATCTCGTAAACAAAATTTCTAATCCTCCTAGTCTCTTCTTCAAATTTATATCATTTCCCAATACACATTTCAGTAAAACAATTAAATCAAAATTCGTTCCCCAAAATATTCTTCTCTTCAACAAACCATATAACCATCCTTCCAAAAACCTTGCTCATCCAGCTAAAAAAAAAACAATCTCCTTCTCTTTCTCCTCGAACATTAAAACACACACACACAAGGCAAGGTTACATCATCTTCAAACGGATTCCATACCCATTTGGGCATTCGGGCAGACTAACGTATTCCATTAATAATATCCAAGAATAATACACGAATGCTCGGTTCGATCGAGGGGGGTAGAGATGAAAGTTTACAGTGGAAGGAAGGTGAATTAAACGGGGAAAGAGAGAAGAGAGACCTCCATTAATACGCGCGTTTATTAACCTCCTCGCGCGAATCCAGCTCCCGTCTCGATCACTCGATCGAGGAGAACGCGTGTCTGTTCAAGTATCGCGGGATAAAACTCCAACGATTAATCCCGTTTTCCCGCGTTTTACGGATCTCGATCGATCTTAACTCGTATACCTAATTAAACGTCGATGAACAAACGAACGGGCGAACAAATTTCCTCTCCTCTCTCTCTCTCTCTCTCTCTCTCTCTATGAGAATGATCCACGACAAGTTGGATCCAAGGA